GCCTCATTTTTCATCCCTTGAGGATTTGTGATGCACGAACCTACAAGACCAACAATTACAGTATGCATTTTCTTAACACAAGGGATAAATGCAGGTATTAGCAGCTTCTTTTTATGTCTAAAAACATCATGAGATGCTATATTCTTGATGGTGAACTTCAGACTCTTACGGCTGGACCATCATTTGCTTGGAGAATGTCACAAAGTAGGAGTAGTCCAAGGAGGGAAGAGGGGGTATCTGCCCTAGCCTTCTAAAACTAGATAGGTAAAAGTTCTTCAGCTTGGGAAAGAAGGAAAAAGGGTAAAAAAAAAAAGAAAAAAAGTGGAGGTTTTTTTGAAGGTCAGTAAAATCATGAGTGTTCTGGAAATGCATAGTAAGGGAAGTCTGTTACTTTCCATAGCAGAAGAGATAGAAAAGCACTTAACAGTAGAACAGCTGAAAGTAAATGGAAATGTTCTTTAAAACATGTACAAAATTGTGGCATTCACTACCAGATGCATAAAATGAATTCATCAGAGCAGAGATACACTGTAAAAAAATTTGGTCCATCAATGATTCTAAAACTCAGGAGTACAAATAGTCTCTGGTTCAGGAAGTTCCTATACAGATGACTATTAGAAGCTGGGGTTGTTTGTCCACCATGTTTTGTATGTCTTTTTCCTAAATGTTTTACGGTGAAGTAAAATACCAAATTTTATATCCTTTTAGTGTTTTCATCACACTCTAAAGATTATAGCTGATTTAAAGGGGGTTTTTTTGAGCAGCCTGTGGAATATTTTCTAGATTAGTTCACGGTTCTGCTTACTAACAATGTAAAACATTTTGAAAATGTTTTTGTTGAAGCATAGATTCAGAATGTCGCAATATTGCCTGTACTATTTTCTCTCACTTTGCGTAGTATTACAGCAGTCACATTCTGGTTTATGTTTGGAATTTTGCATGTGTAGTGGATTGGTATGAAGAAAATGAGAAAGTTGATCACTTATTTTTGTATTATGACTGCACAAGTGTTAAGACACAGGGAGCTGTTTGGTGTGAGAAGTCAGGATATAACAAATACAGCTGTTGTATCTAGCAGATTGGGTTTGCAGGAAGGCTTTTGGGTTTTTGTTTGGTTTTGGTATGGTTTTATTTTTTTTTTAAATGACTTGCTGACTTTGGAATTACCATGAAAGGTAAATAGCTAGCATTTCAGGGAAGGTAGGGAGGGAAAAAGTCTCAAGGTAAGTCAAGCCAGACATAGACATCTGGCCATATAAAAGTGCTGAACATTAAAAAGGTCAGGCTCAGGTTAACTGACTGTGAAACAGAGGTGGTACGAAGAAAAGAGGAAACAAAAATGATTCCAAATGAAGATATGGGAAAAGCTGTTGTATTCCTAGTTTATTAAAAACATTGGGTTGTATTTGCAATTTGCATCTCAAATCTTAAATTGAAATGATCTTTTTTTTTTTTCCTGGCAGTTTAATTAAAGTAGAGAAAGATTGCCCTGGAGATAAGTTGGTATAGTTTGGTAACTGGTTCTGTAGAAAATCCTGTGAGTTGCAGTTGTGCCCAGGGTTTACAGTGAACTGCACTATGCCAGTCTTTATTCTAAGAAATTGAAACATTTACAGGTCTTAGCACAAATCATGAACTTTGTATGTTCCCCATGTTCAGTTTCTTCAGCATTCTGAGTGAAATCAAGGTCATTGTGTTCAACTGCCAGCCTTATACAGCTTGTGATTTACCTTCTGAACTCAAGAGCCCCTTGAACTCTGGCCTTGGTTTATCTGGCCTTGGTTGATCCTATGACTGAACTTCACTGTGAGCAAAAGCTGTTTCCTCCCCTTCTTTTCTTCTGGTCTTTGTAATTCTGAAAGTCTGGATGTGTACTGTTTCAGTTCATTTTGCTTTTTTTGGAAGTCAAAGGCTGGAAAACAAAACCTGCCAGCAGGTGAGCGAGAGAAGATGCTTTTATCCTTCTCAATGCTGTGTTGTGTATGTGTTGACAATGGGCATGCATGCAGGCATTAACTGTAGCACGAATTTTCCTGTACTGATAGCACTATAAGTCTGCCCCAAATACCGCTCCTTCTGGAAGGGGTGCACACAACTATAAAAAGATGCAGATTGTATTTTCCCCTTATGATTTGGCTGAGTCTGAGATGATCCCTGCTTTTGTTTGGAATTTATTATGTATCATAAGTTTGGGTTTGGCTGTTGTTTGTTGTTTTGGGCTGTTTTTTTTTAATTCCTCTTTGGCTAGGCTCCTTCAGTATGTTTGGGGACCATGATTTAGGAGTTAGTTAAATCTGGCATTGGTTCTAGGATTACAGTCAGTCAGGCTTCTACCTTCCCCCCAGGTTGAGTGGCCTGATCTTTCTGAGTCAATCTTTCTTTTGAACTGTTTTTAAAAGCTGCTAGCTTTTCGTTTTAACAAGTTATTGCTTCTTGCTTTGGCTTGCCACCTTATGGTTATGTTTTAACTTGCCTGTTTTCTCTTTTCCTTGAGAGAACATGTTTTCTTAAAAAAATCTTTTTGTTCTAATTGCCACCTTTAATCAGTTGCTGAATCATATTAGATTTTTTTTTGTCCTTTCAGAATCTTTTTTGATAAGTGTCTTGTCAATTCTACTGATTCCCTGATATGGTGTGTCGTTTTCTATCACAAATGAACACTTCATCCTTTCAGTTTCTTCTTTTAGCTTATTTTTAACCAGCTCCCACTTTTCTGCCCTATCCTTCAGCTCATCACCCTTAAGTTCCTATATTTCTGTTGTGTGCTGTCCCTGCTGCTGCCTTAAGAGCTGGTGAAATTTTGTGTGACATGCCTGGCTGGACAAGATCTTTGGTTATTACCACATTCTTTTATGTAAGCCACTGTGGATAGTAGTGCTTATAGTGTGTCCTTGCTACCCTAGGAGTTCAGCTATTTCACTGTCAGTTGACAGGGACATTTACAAAGATGATCTAGTGCGCACCCAGTACGAAAGGAAGGAATAGGAAGCAATCTAAATTGGCAGGATAGACTCTCCTTCTTTAATCCACCCCTTCTTCTTCTTCCAAGGAAAATTTATTTTTGTATTGTATATTACCAATTATTTCATATTGTATGACACAACACTATATTGAATACCAGTATTGACAAGACCTGCAATACCTGATCTCTTAAGTCAAGTGGAACTTGGAAATGGATTTAAATCCCCACAGCATGGGGGAGTTCTTCATCTGGATTTTACACAACATTCATTACTGTGTTAACCATAAGTCTATGGAATGAAATACTGTATCACAAGAACCTCTTGTCCATTCCATTAAGGTGGTTTACTGATTTGCAAATACTGCTAGGACACTCTTCACAGGAGGAGCAGAGTGATGAAACAGGAATGGATCAAGAAGTGAAAAATTCGGAGGAACCAAATTTAATTGCTTAGGATCACCCATATGAGGCAATTTAGCCTTCAGCAGTCTGCTGGATTTTAAGATGCCTTTTCTATGTACCTGTATCTTTTGGGTTTAGTTGGCTTTTTCCTTTTGTTCCTTCCTGTTCTTTGTTTCTTCTTGCAAGGGTGAGGCTGTTCATATGAAATCACTGCCCTGAGTGTCCTTATTTTATTTATAAGTAGCATATAAATAATACCTATTTTTTTAACATATTTGGTACTTTTGAGCTTGAATATCTATTAGTAAGGTGTTATTCCTGAATATTTGACTTTCTCAGCCTTAGAGAGCAGAGAGAAACCCTAATCAGTAGCTTTAATGTTAAGCGCATGTCTTACTAATGTATTAGAATTCCTGAAGCTTGACAATTAATTGGTGAATAAAAGAGAACCGGCTTATGTTATTTACACTGGCATTCAAAGGCCTTGTAACGAGATTCTGGGGAAGAGGCTACTTAACAGAAATTAAGTGGTTATTGCATGAGAGGTAACTGTCATTATAGGTCAAACTATCTATAACAAAGCATAGAACTGAATGCAGTTTTCATTACAAATGGCTGTGGCATGCCTCAGGGTTTTGTATCAGTCTTGCCATTACTGTGTATTAACTTCACAGATGAAAAAGGTGGTTAGTAGTAAGGTAGAAAAACCTGTAGATGAAAAGAATGAAGGTAAGTCAAAAGAATTTTTTTGTGAATACTTCATCAAACTGGAAGAGGCTGCACAAAGGAGATAATGTTCCATACTAATATAAGTAAAATCAAGTATAGTGGCAAACATGGCAGATGAGTAACTCGTATGGAGCAGTGCTTGCTTTTTAAATTGCGTCGTATGTTTGTACACTGAATTCTTAAAGGCCTCTTCAAAACCAAAGTGTCTTTCTCTTGAGTTTAGCACAGCAAATGCAATGCAACTGTAATATCAGGACTTCTTGAAGTATCTTTTGGTGCTGCTACTACTACAGAGCATCAAGTTAGAAGTAAAGCAAAAATGAGAACTTAATTGTTTGGCATATAAAAACTGGGGAGTATTCTTTCTTCTACCTGTCTTATGTCATACACTTAAAAATAACATGTGTTTGCTTGGAGTTTACTTGCTTTTATACTTTATATTCTAGCCATTCTTTATAGAGAAATGTTGTTTGTTGTATAATTTTAATATTACCTGAAGGTAATAGTTGTTCTGCTTAGGTGATTATTTGTTTATTAATATGTTAGTGTAATACTAATATAAATATTAACATAATTATTAATGAATGTCTTTCTCCTAGATTAATAATTTTGAAACCCTTGTTATTAATTTCTGCGAAAATATTAAGGAATTTGAAAGTCTGTGCACTGCCGATTTTTTCCCTTGTGTTCTTTTATATTTTCATGTACTTGTAAGGTCAAAATAGATGTTCTGCAATGGGTAGAGTACCATATTTCATTCTTTGTGTACGAACTTTCTTTTATGGGCTCTTCCTTATAGTTCTTCAGAATGGAGAGCGTAATTGTTAGAGGATATAAAAAAAAAGTTATGATTCTGCTCAGTTTTCATGGATTATCTTGCTTACTGTGTTTCTTTGGTTTATTCAAGGGCGTTGGGAGTTTCAGTGACAGACTATACATTTGAAGACTGTCAGCTAGCTTTGGCTGAAGGACAACTTCGTCTGCCTTCAGACACATGTCTTTTAGAATTTGCAAAGCTTGTGAGAAGCCTTGGGTGAGCATATACAATATTTATATGTAAAGTGCATCTTTATTATATATCTGTGTTTATATAGGTTTACCTCTGCATCACAATATTGCATTTATGAATATATATGGAATGTTGTCATATTTCAGTCAGGGAAACTCTAATATAAAATTAAACTAATACTGTTCCCCACTTGCAAGCAGCACCCTTAGATCATAATCAGTTGTAAAATTCATATTTTCACAGTCTGACAAGTGAGCAGAATGTGTTTGAAGTGTTCATTCCTGAACAAAACTAGAAGACACCTCCTGAAGAGGGTCAGGAATACTGTGGGATACCTAGTATTTGATACAGTTAGGAGTCAATTGCCCTTTCCTGTGACATCTGTGAAGGTAGAACAGTGCTGCCATAGCAGTCTTGTGACTGGATTAACATTATAATAGTGAGGGCAGAGGGGTCACCCTTTCCCAAGAAGCACAAAGTGGTTGATCTTTTGAGTAGCTTACTGCTAGATGGACTTTCTAATGAAACTATAACTTACTGTGTGCAGTGTGGCTCCTGTCTTCACATAGTTTCAGTTCCTCTGGCTTTACCTTTCAGAAAAGCTTCAACAAACAGTGAAAAAATTCACATAAACTACATGGTAGAACTTGCTGCTGCTGTTTTCCAGTTTTTCTCCTGTTTCTCCTCTCATCCTATTGAACAGCCACAAGCTAAATTTACAGCCTCATCCTATTAACTGATTTAATATACGAACATCCTTTTCCATTTTTTATCGCCTCAATTGAAAGTATAGAGCATAGTTTCATGTTTCCATTCTGTACTTTATCTCCTTTTATAAAATAATCTTACCTTCATCTTCCAGCTTGTGTACATAAGTGTAAAAAAAGAAGAGAAAGATCTATTGGAGAATAAGGAATGTAGGACAGCATACATTATGCATTCAGATGACAAGCATATATTAATTCATTGTTGGGACCTCCATCTGAAAAGAATTCCAGTCAGATAGGAGAGACTTCTAAGGGGAAACAAAGGTTCTTATTTTGTTCCAAAGGCTTTGAATTTACAGTACTAAAAAAAAAAAGCAAACAAAACAAACAAAAAAACCCCACCGACCCAAAAAACCGCCCACGTCTCTTATTATGTAGCTGATAATCCTGGGATTCAGTTTAATCCTTTTGTTAAATTGTCTGCCTTCTGTCTGCTCAATTTAAAGCTGTTCTTTCAAATTATGTTTTTCTGGGTTTTTGTTTTGGCCTCTAAAACAACTACATGCATTTGTGAGTGAGGTTCCACAGTCCAAAAGTTCTCTGTCTGGCTTGAGCAATTGTACACTGGTGAAGTATTATTTTGTCTTGATTTGGATATGTGCCAGTGAGAGAGCTATTATGATGGTATTTTTCTGGCACAATTGGATGAAGATTGTAATATGACTTCATCTCTAATGTACATTCAATGGTGGTGCAGTCATTTTGCTGTTTATTCAAAGGTTTTGAGGCCAGGGATTAAGATCATCCAGTCACATCCCTAAATAACTGGGACAGTAAATTTTTTTCCAATGGATTTTGCATCCAGCCTTAGTACTTGTTTTTGAGCAATAGCATACCTTCAAGGTAACATCCAGTTTTAAATGCAAGATTTTTACAATAAGGCAAATCCAGATCTGTTTTTCATTTAGATTCTTTGAAATCAAGTTACACCTCAGTTTACTGCACTGGAGATTTATTTATATTCACATTATATATCTACAGAGTTCATTAACATTGTCTGTAAAATTTGCTTACTCTGTACTCAGCTGGATGGGATCCACTCCAGAAGCCATGTAGCCACAGCAGCGAGTTCTCATGCTTATCTGATGAAGAGCTTGGGCTCTGTTAACACAGCTCTGCAGCTGCCAGGTCACAGCTGCTTTGTACTGAACTCTGTAGTAAAATGACTGCTATATCAATGAGATCAATTGATCACAGTCTCATCTTCTCAAATTCTGCATTCATTAGTCCTCAAGCAGTTAGGCTTCTGTTGAGCCCGATAATCTATCTGACCAATGAGCTGATTACTAAACTATATGCAATCTTTATTGTAGCTTTCATACGTTGTAAATACTTTGCTTCATTTGATGATTTATTCCACAATTAATTACCCCACTGTTTAAAGTGATTCTCTATTTTTACTTTGGATTTATTACCATGTTCTAGACATTGAAGCTTTTCTTTTAATAAGCTGCTTCAGGGTAGTTGCCTGCAAGGAAATTCTTAAGTTCTGATTTGAATTGATTCATTCCTATTGTCTCAAACTTCTGTTCATTCTAATTCCTGCATTCACTTTGCCCATGAACTAGAAGGACCTTCTAGCCTTAATTGTTGTTCCCCTTTCTTATGGAACCATGGCTTTTAGGCCATTAGTAGCTCCTTAGAGAATACCCATTTTTCAGTCAAATTATTTCTATTTTTTTTAGTTGTGATTTATTCTCAGTTTTAATTGTTTTATTTTCTGAAAATTAGTTATCTCTCTTCTCTTCCAAAAAAGGGGGAAAAAAAAAAAAGCCAAATGCAGTACATACTGCAATCCAAAGTAGAAATTTTTTAGTGACTGTGTTCTGCTTGTTGCTAGATGAGGCTTATAAAGTCAGGTCTTGAAGTAACCTGAAATTTGGCTTAAGTTATTCTAGTACTACAGGCCTTTTGCATCTTTTTTCTTTTTGGGCGGGAGGGAAGTATTGATAGCCTCATCAAACTTCTAGCCAGATTAAGGATCATCTGCTTATCCTCTACTTGATTTTTTTTTTTTAACTGATCTCTTTTCTCATGCTTTCTTTCTACCCTTCAATTTGTTAACATTCAGTCCTCTGCTACTGCATTATTTACTTAACTGATTCCTGATTGTTTTTTCCCAAATCTTTCACTTCTAAAACCCCAGGTATGATTTGGAACATCTAACAAGGGTGGATGTGTCTCACATCCTTCTGTTTTAGTCACTGTTCTCTACTTCCTGATTTTTCTCATTAACTTGAAGTCTTTTTGGGAAATATTCTTTAGAAATTAAGAATTTTTATCTTTTTTTTTTTTCTAATTATTTTGGAGGCTAGGCAGCACTGATACTTGTACAAGATGGCACTTTTTTTTCCCCAGTATGGTAGTTGACTTCCTCTTTGTGTGTCAAAAAGAAGTAAGTATAGAAAGTACAGCAAGAACATAATATAATATCATGGTGAATGTGCATTTTATTATCGGTATACATGTGGCACAAGACCCTTTGATTTGGCAGGTTCTTGATCTGATGCATGCATTTAATACAGAGACTCTGAGCTTCTTTGTGCTTTTCACTGAAGATAATACTGCTTTGCTGATTGTGTCCACTTCTTTTAAAAGGTATGGTTTGCACCAAATCATCTTTTTCAGGTCAGATTTCAGAAAAATCCCCCGTTCTTGCCTTCTAGTTTTTTTTAGCTTTCTCGGTAGGTACTCTTAGTCAGTAATTTTTATCTTTAACAGTGAGCAGCAACTTATTTTGGAATTGGTTTTGGATCCTTAATTATCTTTGTTTTCCTGCGCCTGAGTATTATTGGCATCTTGTACCCATGTGATGAGTACTAGTGATGTCTGCCCTGGAAGAATGTTCTACAACCTTAGCAAGGGTTTACCCCTGCAGGGTTTACCTCCTCACACACTCCCTGGCCCTGGTGAAATTCAATGTTAGTAAACCTACTTGTGTTGAATCAATTCTACTGTCTGTTAAAAGCCATAGCATTTTGGTAAGAATGACCCGAATTAAACAGCAGTCCCATTTTGACCATTACTCTTCAATATTATCTCATCCATTTGGCCATGAGGATCCCACTAGGCAGTGCTCCTATAGGCTTACAAGATCTGCAAGGAGGAAATAATTACCTCATAGGCCTGGTGCCTGTCTATCCTTGCTCATCAGCCTTTACCATCCAGACTACAGTGCAAACTTTTGCTGTCCATGTGTGCTTGAAATGGTGGTCCAGACTGTAGGTAGAGCTTTGCATCCCTAAAGTAATAACCCCTCACAGCTAACTAACAGTGCCATGACTTCAGAGTGTTCAGAGTTAATTTATAACAAGAAAAAAACCTCTGGAGGATGTTGTCAATCTGCACTCATGATAAAAGCAATACTGTCCATTACATGAGGTGATCATGAATCAAGCTTAACGTAGCAAATACCAACCATGATAGCCCCTGCCTTGTAGACCAAGGCAGGGTGTGTCAAAGTATTTGGAAGGTCAGTTTTGCAGCTGTTCAGTATCCTCTCTCCATTATGACAAGAAGTTGCACAAGAAGTACATCAGCAGGCATAAAACAATGTATTGTGATTTTCTGGCTTAGGGCATGTTTCTCTGAGCTTGTAGTTTCTGCTATCTAGCTACAAGATCCAGCTGTTCTTATGCAACTTCCAGCTCAGTGAGACACTAGAAGGTTTTTGGCAGGTTCCCAGCATGCAAGAAAGGAGTTTGTTTTCAGTAGTCAAATGCAGCTAAAACTAGCTTTAAGGGGGTAAGACATCTCACTTGCTAAAAATAGTGGTAGTTATGCTGAAAATATCCTACCTTCAGGGATGTGGTTTTCCTTGTGAAGTCTGCTGTGAAGGATTTAATATTCAGAGCTGTTAATCTTGAAAAATGTCCTTTCCATTTTCAGGGACTCAGGAATAACTTCTTGTTCTCTTTAGTGCAGGCTGGCCTAAAAAATGAAGCAAAACACCACAACAGCAAATAATGTTATGTGTCGTAAAGCTTAGATCCTCCATGGAAGCTTAGGCAAAAAAGCATGATTTCATGAGCAAAGACATCCGCTGTTGGCTTTCTAGCTTTTATAGCCTCCATTGGGATAAACGTAACAATTTTAAAGGATTTGAGACATTCAAACCATTTCACATCGGTTCAGAGCCTACTGTGGGATTTGGAACACTTGACTTCAAAAGACTTCAGCATAGTAGGTCATGATCATCCACACATCAATTACTTTCTCATTCTGAAAGGGCTAGAGGGAGGTAAACCCACCTTAGATTACCAGAAGTACAATGCAGTCATGCTCAAGCTGAAGCAGTAAGTTTGCCTCACAGATCCACATAACGCTTTCTGAGGTTGGCTCACATCTCTTTCTATATTTACAAACCACAAGATGTCTGTAAGATTCGTGATAAAGCATGCTACTTTCCGTACAAGGTTTTGCCTTCAAACTTTTTAGCTTTTCGTACTTAATTGACTGGCGAAGAGGAGATCTCACAAGTCTCAAATACCCCTCACCAAACAAGTAGTTCGTCAGTTCTAGAAGGTGAATTTTGAGTCAATTCATTGCAAATCAAATCTCTCTGATATAGAGACAGATGTTAGACTGCGTGTTCTGTGTCAGTGGTGGCTTATCTCAAGGGAGGATTTGGATGCCAGCTGTCCTCATCCTACAGTTAAAATCCGTTTTGGCTACTACAGTGAGGATGTATTATCTGTAGACACTTCTTATTATGTAATCCTGCATGTGAGAAGCCGAGTTCTGTGTGCATCTCAAATCCTCCATGGATTCCTTTGTCATTGTTCCTGCTACTTTTTTACTTCATCATGGAAAACGAACATTTGCAGAGGAGTGTTTTGCTGCTCTTTGTATGCTGTCTAAGACCAAAACTTAAGATACGTGTTTTAATGCCAGGATGGAGAACACGTGAATATTCTGTAGGGGCCATAGGTCTCTGAAAGAATTATTGCATGTTCAGGTCTTACAATTCAGAAGTACAGGGCTTGGCGTTGTTTAGTTAGTACATTTTTGGTAAGTCAGTTTAGGTAACGGCAGACAGCATAGTAGTTGTGTTTTTACTTAAAAGCAGTGCTTGTTAGGAGGGCTTATTTCAGTAAGCGATTAAGGTCTGGAGCTGATGTATCAGAAAATCTTCCTATCAGAAATGCTTTTATCTTTTTTTCAGAAGCTCCTGAGAATGCTGATAATTAAGTATTTTATTTGCTCTTGTCACTGAGCGGAAACTGCTGAGGAGTCCCAGCTGCAGTCTGGGAACAATTCTGGTGTGAGCTTGTGAGTTCTGTAAATAACTGATTTTCCTTGTCTGCAGCAGCAAACCAGACAACTGCAGAAGAACATTGTAGAAGACTTTATTGGCTTCTTTTGTCTTCAGACTGGAAAGTTTGGATGCACACATTACCCCAAATCATTTCAGAGGAAACATGTTGATGAAGATTTGGTAGATGTACTAGGGAGGGAATTTACTTCTCCCCACATACCTGCATCACCATTTATTATAGCAAGAATTTTTTTCACAAAGTGAAAACAGGAAGCGTGACTTTGCAAAAAATAAACAACCACCATGCAATAGATATCTGCTGCTAAATGTAAAGCTGTTCATTCATCAGTCAAAAGCTGGTTTTGCAATTGGAAGGACTGAAGGAATTTCTGTAGCTGTATTAACTGGTGTAACTTCTTTTGAGTCAGCTCGTAGTGGTGTCCCAACTCTGGACTGAATGTAAAAAATGAGGACTGACAAACAGGATTAACAGTATAATCGCTCTTATGTAATCGCTGATTTCTTTTAGGCAAGGTGCATCAGGTCTTTCCTATTCAGTGACATTAGTAAATTTGGAAACTTAATTGGTTTATGTTACTGTCCTACAATACAGCCATATTCAGGCGACCTAAACCCCACCTAGTTCTCCATGCCTGCTATCTATGAGCTAGTTCTAGACTGTGTTTCTTGTTCATGTTGAACTGCTAACACATATGGTTTATAATCAAGGTAGAATAAAGGGCATAAGTTTATCACCAGGATTCCTAAGCCCTTGCAGTAATTTCTAATACAGTTCAAGAAATAACGGGTCCCTTAAAATTACAGGACTACATTATTTTATAATAAAGTTGCTTAGTAATTCTGATTCAAGAGTTTGTAATGTGTTACACTGGTGTCATCCATTGCTTCATTTGGTATATTGAAATTTGTATTGTGAAAACTGGTTTTGTTTTTAAAATATGCAAAAAATAATATGCTTTCTAGGCTGAAGCCAGAAACACTTGAAGATGATCTTGATAAATATGCTGCAAGTGCCATGAAAATGAAAAAAGAAAAGGTGGATCTTAAAGAATTTTCAGCATACTTGGAATTTCCAGTTTCTCACACATTAGAAAGTATGTTTGCGCTCTTCGATGAGGTAAGAAACAACATCATGTTTAAAAATTGTACTGCTTCTGGTAAACTCCACTTTAGCCTAATTCTGTTCCAGTTGAATTCACTGAAGTCCAATTTGAGCCAGTGCTCAGTGCTTTTGAGCACTTCACTGCAGTATTTGCCTACTGCATTTCCATTTCAGCAAGGTAAGAGCACCTATCATCAGCTAAATAAAGCATTCATTCAGGCAGAAGTTAAAAGGAGTATCAGTTGGACAAAACTGATTTTCTTTCTAGATGCAAAATATGAAGAGGAATAAAGATGGGTTCGGGCTAAACCTCTGCTGCTGCTTGTTGCAACTGAATGCAATGCCTATTAGCTGATATTTTACTTACCTTGTAAATAAATCACTTGTTCTTCTAGGATGTCTGAAACCTGAAGTACCTAGGTACTCTGCAAATGAGCCGATTTTTCATTCCTCTGGCAATCATTCAGAATAGGGCAATAACTGTTATCTTTGGATGAGGTGCTGTTTGGACTGGGAGGTGGATACGTCTACAGTGCTCTCTCTTAGACCGAAGAGCAGATGTCATGTATTCCAGGCTTAAATTAGGCTACCTTGCTCTCTTGTTCTCCAATTTTAATCTCAACCCAGTACTTCAGATGGTTTAATGTAAAAATCTTAAATATGCAAGTAAAGGGTGACAGTAGCAGCACTGTCTTCCAAGAATCTTTGAATTATGACTTCTGACTGAGACTCTGAAAAGGGCTGGCAGAGCTTTAATGACCCAGGTTCTTGCCCTGACATAATTCCATTTCAGTGAGACTTTTTTTTGCAGTTGCACATGTAACGATCTTTCTGAATATTCTGCATCTTTAGCAACTGTTAGTTATTTATGAAAGTTCTCAGACAAATTGCAGTATTTTAGGTGAGGTTTTCCTTCACAGAATGAAGATGGCATAATTGACATTCGGGAGTTTGTCATTGCTCTGTCAGTTGTCTGTAAGCCATCCAAAACTCTGGAAACAATTCAGTTGGCATTTCAGGTAAGCAGTATTTTCTTCCTCTATGAAGTTTACTTATTTTTAGAAATTATTTGTACTGCCACTAGACTTAACAGAATCTTGTTTCACATGCCCTTTAAATACTTAATTGCATATCAAAATAACATTAATGGAAAGTTAGATTAAGAGGTCATGCTCAGAGGGAATGCACTGCGAGTTTAAGTTGTATAAAATTATGGAAGCTTGCAGTTTGAAATTGTTCTCTGTGGAACTCTGGTAGAATCCTTTTCAGCACATTGAGTCTGAAACCTGAAGTCATTTGTATTGATTCCTCTAAACTAAAGGCTAATGAGTTGTGCTTACTACTTATAATGTTTCAGTCAAATCTTATTTTTCAAGTTAATAAAATATTTTAAAACTTTTCCTACACGTTAATAGAGATTAATTTTTTTTACCCCCTTTTATCTTCTTGGTAAGATTTTCGTCCCTCTCAGTCTTAGCATGTTTCTGTGTTGGTCCTGCAGTCTCTGCCCAGACTTCATGCTTCCCAGAAGTGCTCCTGATCTTGTTCTAGCATCAGAGGTTTGTTGTAGCATCGGCATAGATGGCTAAAGCAGGCTTTTTGGGAAAGTGACAGCAGCAGTACTTAATGTTTGCTATTCCAGTGGGTATATCTGACACCTTGATTTATTAATTAATCTCTTTAGTATTGCTCTTTCAACACGCAGACTCTGCTGCATCCTGCATCGTCTTTTCCTTGAATGAATCTTTTCCCTTTGCCTTGAACTCACATGGTCTCTAGTGTTACTGAAACTGAAGAGTGCTAATTCTTTATGTTGTCTTCACTAGTGAATGCATGGAGTTGAGAACATTCAATTGTACGGTACAACATGGCAGCCTTATTTTCCAAGTTGTTTTTCAGGTTCTTCAGCATACCTGTAGTATTCTCTTATCTATGTTTTGCTAAAGAAAGGAGGGTCCTGTGAATGTTTAGTGTTTGCATCTATCATTCTTACCCTTTGGCCAGTACCAAACAAATTTGACAAAGGAGGAAGGAACAAAAATATTTAGTTCCTACAAATATTGGGGGAAATCTGCCTCTAATAGCTGCTGTTACTGCTACTTCTGAGGGAAAAGCAGGAAGGTCTCTGTCTTCACTTACTCCATTCGATCTATATAATGACATAGAGAAATGCTCGGGTGCTATTTGGTCAGCTCTCTGTCTTCATACTAAATAAAACAAGGTTAAAGTAAACTTGAAGGTGGCTTTTGGGCAGAATTTCAGTGAGATTTAACTGTCATGATGCATAACATGCAATATACTTTATCATTTTAGAGGAAGAAAAGCTCAGATTAGGAGGTTATTTTCTTTTTGGAAGCACCTAAATTTAAGTTAACAGAACTCTTTCTTAGAAAATTTCTGTTCTTCACTCTCTGCTCTATTCTTCAACTGATAATACATAATTTTGAGTTCCCTGGTTGATTGCAAAACATAAAGTTAACAGTAGAACTGCAAAGAAGTTCTGTGCATGTATTAAGAAGGGGAAGCACTCAGCAAGGGGAAGCAGGTATGGCTTGGTTTATCCTGCTAGTGATGATTGGAAGGGTAAAAAAAGTCTTGAGCTGAGGAAATTTTGCTCACAGTATTCTAGAAAAAAGGGAGAGAGAACCCTTTTTTTTTTTTTTTTTTTTTTTTAATTCTTTCTTTCCTCCTGTCCTGGGTTCGTGTACAGTAAGATAGTCCCACACCTTATTGGGAGCCATTGAAGGATCTAGCCAGTTCATGAATGTGTGACTTTGAACAGGTACCTCTGCCATATGCTACTTTTTGCAAAGCACTTTGTCATTTGTTTTCAGGGACAAAGTGCAACATTTCACATAGCTTAACAAGTTTTTAAAGCGGAAGTGTTTAGTATATGGCTGAAGAACTTGAAAAATAGGAGTTACTGAGCCAACAGAGTTCTAAAACAGTGGGCAATTAAAAGAGAAGGGGAGATTATGGCAATCAAGTCTAAGAGCAGCACTCTGGTGTAAGTGCTATGCATCCTCACTTCCTAATTGCTAAGGAAACTAAAGGGTGTTGTAAATCTTGCCAGTATGATGTTTGTGAGCCTTACCATCAAGTATCACCTTCTGACTACTTGATCTGTGAAAATATAGCAGGTTTTATCAAACAAGTGTCTTGTCCTTGCCCCTGCTGTTTGTGAAACAGTGTGCAAGTTAGGTGCTAGGGAGGAAAAGGCAAGATTCCTGATTTGAGTATGAATGTTGTCTTCCATGGAACTTCAATTTTTTTATTCCACTGAGGTGTGCTCTCTCATGACAGTAACTTCTGCTTGTGTGAAAAATACAGGCTTATGCCTGTTTTGGTCAATCTCATCAGTTCCCACCTTCTCAGTGATGTAGAAAAACTAAAAGGAGGTTTCCAAAATAGCATTTTTTACATGGTTCAATATTTGCATTGTCATGCTTAAAAATGAGATGAGGATGTTTCAAAAACTCTTGTGTCTCAATTTCCATTGCACAGGCAGAGTTACTTTAGAAAATTTAATGAAGCTGTATTCGTTACAGATGTTTTGAAATACTCAGGTGATTTTTCAGGGGAAAATACTGTACATATACAAATGTAGAATAAGACTATGAACAATTACTTTTAGATATCAACCTCCCGTCAGTAGCAAAGCTAACTTCCTGTGAGGAACCTCTTTGCTTTGGTACTTAAGAATATGCAAATTACTATCTTTTAGCATAAGTATTTGTAGAAAATTATAGGTCCATCACTGTATGGGGTAAGATTCTGCTAATTAATACAACACCATTTAGATGTAGGTATTTTATGCAAACTGGCTGTCAAATCAGTTGGATTTTGGTCAAAGGAATCTTGAGGCTTACATCTAACCAAATGAAAACAATATCTGCTTTAGGCTGTCCTAAATATATCTCCTGATTCCACAGACTCTTGGAGTTTGGACACGTAGCTCAATGGACTAAAAATTACTCTCAGCTACATACCTGCAAAACATGTTAGTGTTAAATATTCTTGTTTCTGCATATCACTGAAATTCTAGTGGTTAGGCATGTAAATATAGGGTTTTTTCTGAATATGGCAAGCTTTACTTTCTAAATGTACACAGGTGAACTAATAATCAATGCTCTCTTTTACCCAGACTAATCAGAAATCTTTAGTAGATCACATCAATCTGAGAGTGACTAGAATTTCCAATACCAAATTTTAATTTTGCATAACTTCTTAGCATGGTGCTGTTCATAGGAGTTAGCATTCAGCTTTGCAATGATTTATCTTGCTGTCTTGATTCATAGCTGTACCAGTCAGAAAATGGAACTATAACAGAAGAAGATTTAGCTCATATTCTGAAGACTGCCATGGGTGTGTCACAGATCAATGTTACACATCTTTTTAGAGCTGTAGATGAAGAAGAAAAAGGAGAGATTACATATGGTAAGTATTTTAAGTGCATCTGAACTGTCATAAAATGTCAAAGTTGTTTGAACTCATGTTGATATACAAACCAGTTATATTTTTGTTAAACTTTACATTTCTTAGTTGACTTGTTGACTTTAATAATGATAAAAGCACTGCAGACAAAGTAAATTTATATTTAAAAAAATTTGAGTTTCACCTTTAATATCAAATGTCATGTTTACATGTTTTCAGAGGTTTTCCCTTCCGCGTTAGGTCAGACAATACCTGGATTACCTCTTTCAGCATATTCTGTTCTGTGACTTTCCATGTATGTGAATGTGTATTTTTAAGAAAGCTATTTTAGCTCTGTCCTATTGTTTTGTCTCTTGTATCCGTTTCCCCACTATTTCTGCCCTCCCAGACTATAGGGGGATATAAGACTTTCTACTCCTTTAACAATTTCTCAGCCTGTTTGAAAATAAATCGGGCGGGGGAGGGGATGGGATGGGGGGGATTAACCAGGCTGCTCAGTATGTAGTCTGTAATGCAGGTGATACGGAGTCAAGGAAGTTGCATTTGCAAAATTGTGAGATCTAGGTGAATAAATTATGCTGGGAATGAAAGTACTTGTGTGTTACCTCAGATACTTCATCTTTTATGCAGTAAGAATCTAAATTTAGTTGTATCACTGAAGTATGAACTGAGTTGTTGATAGCCAACATATTGCATATCTCCAGTAGAAGTGCTTATGACATGCCCTGTTTTAGTGGTTTTCCTTCAGGATAATCAGTATGTATTTAATTTGTAAAAATCTTACAAATTAAGACATCGGTATTAGTAAATCACAATTTCTATGCTAGTAATTCCTATGTTTCAGTCATACAATATGTCTATAAAGCTTCAACTACAGAACTATTTACAGGTATTTTAGAGTTACTGGAATGAGAATCATTGCCACTGCCCTCCCCTTTTTTCCTGACTGCTATGTCTTGTCTCCTTGATTCCTGCTATGCTACCCCTTTCCTTTCTTTTACCTCTCATCTGTCGTGTCCCCAGTATTTCTATGTCCATCCTACACTATTGCCTTTTTCCTGCCTTCGTTGCTCCTTGTTGTCTCTCAACTCATTTGGGTGGTGACTCAACTCTTCTTTCCCTCCCCCTCTCCCCTCATCACCAGCTTCAAAAATACCAGCACAGAATCTAAGCTGATAAGACTAGCAGAACTCTAATTTTGGCACACTTTGCTCTTTGAGAATAGCTAAAATTGAAGTAGTGTACAAGTGAACTCAGACCAGTTCATGTGAGTTGCCAAAGAATTCGTATTTTAGTATCCATCTTTAATAGTACTTAGTTGCATTTAAATCTGCACTTTACCCCTGAGTGGTCATGGTATGTTCCCATCACAAGAAAATCTGGGCCACTGAGCCACAGCAGTGGCCACTGAAGTGCTTAGTTCTACTTTCACAATTTTATTTCCTGAGGTCAAGAGTAGTCTTTTGTGAGGCTACACAAAGTAGGATGGTGTTACATTACATTTTCTGAGACAAGTGCTCATTTTATAGTGTGAATATTGCACCGAGATTTTAACATATCTGAATGCTTAATAGTACAAATAAATGTTCAATTTATTGTGGTAGAGAATTAGAAGATGAAAATAAACTTTTGGTATGGCATTTCTATCTTGAAAGTTCTTGCTGTAAATATTCAATCTCTCGCCTTTCCTGAGAATACGTGCAACTTTCCAGGAGAAAAACTTCTTGAAGTTCTTGTAGTACATATGCATACTTAATACAAAAGTATAGACGGCAGTCTTTAAGAACTCCACTCTGGGTTCTTTCCTTCTTTTTGTCTCTTTCCTCTTAGTAGGGGCAGGAAGCAAAATTACTTTTTTCCTAAGTAAATGACTACAGCAATCTTTTCCTCCAGTCTAATGCTTCACAGTTGCTTTAAGCTTGAGCTCCAAGATGAGATCTCTGATTAGAAGTAATGCTGAAATAGCTCGTTCTTCCTGCATCACCTTGTCTTGCGTTTGTGATGAATGAGGTCAATGGGATCCTAAGCACTTTTCTTTGGGCTCTGCTGTGTACAACTTTGATAAATATTCCTCAATATGTTTAGGACTTGTTTCAGCAAGACCCAAAACATCTACTTACTCAGATTTATCAGAAACATCCTGTTTAGTTCAGTCCTCCCTGGAATCTGAGGTTTTTCGTTTGGATCCAGTATTGATAAAACATTGAGGGATGGATCCTGGTAGTGGTGTCAGGATGCTGATCTGAATATAGACTATCGTACTTCTGTGAACAACTGCTTCATGGGATTTTCAGAATTTATTTTCTGAAAAGATACAATAGCTTTTTGAAGAATTACTTATAATGGCATCTACAGCAAATATTCTAGTCTTTCCTATGTAAAAAGGATTATGCTTAATGCGATTGTAAGAGCATCTTTGGTACTGTTGGTTGAAATTTTTATGCTTGTCTTACCTTAGTTGTGCTAACTGTCAGAATGACCTTTCCCAAAAGAGGCTATTTTTTCATCGTCATTAATAGGATGCACATATTATATGTGTTGTTACAAAAAGGAATAGACCCTTGGGATGGCCTTAAAACGTCCATGTGAAAAACAAGAACGCTTTCACGTTCTTGCTGCAGGCCAGACTCTGTTAAGGCTGGTAGCTGATTGCTCTCTCCTTGTTAGCTGCAGAAAAATAATGTACTCAGTTGGGTTCACTGAATGTGCTTAACTGTTTTGATTCTGATGAATCAGTTTGCACAGTTTCTAATTTATTACTGCAACTACTGCAACAGTTAAATATTTTAAATATAAAAGGATGTTCTACGTTTCCTTGTTGAAAAAGGTCAAATGCATCACATGCTTTGCTATGAGAATATTTAAAAAAAACAAAAAAAACCCCTTGAACTTGCATTAAATATAATTGAAAGAAAAGGTTTTGCTGTATGCATTTTCAAACATTTAAGATTTTTTTTTTTCCCTCTCTGAAGACTTTATAATTTACATGATCAGTCAGCCTGTTCTACATACAGGTTTTTTCAACATAGATAATAGTGTTTGTTTTCATGGCCTGAACATCACCAACTTTTGTTGCAGTTACAGGGTCCAAAATACTTTAGATCCACATAAACTGCAGATAAAGGATACCCACTTACTTGTTTGCAGAAGGATGAAGTTATATTTATTGCATTCTTGCCACCTATCCCTTTGCAACAGTTCAGAAGCAGGGTTGACTTACAACTTCAGTGCCCCTGTGGGCCAAATGACAAGCCCTTGCCCTTTGCAATATTGAGGAAAAACACACCGTCTCAAACAGAAGAGTGGCGGAGAGGGAAGGCTGTGGTGGTTCCCTTCTTCCACACTGTCCCACTTGTACCCGGAGGAACTGGGCTTCACCCCTCTGAAAGGCTACTTCAGCTGTCATCTGCGCTGCACTCCAGGGAACTCACAGCATCGTCTGATCATGAGCTCTTCTGGAATAACACACTGAATTTGGGTGGGCTGTGTATGATACGCTGGAGGTGACTGGGTTAGTGATAATGTTTGCATCCAGCTTCTTCCAGTGTCAGTTTACATTATAAGAATAGCTTCTTATGACTTGGATGCTGGACAGTATCTTGTGTTCAGATTATGTCTGAATAAACAGTCATATGGGCAAATTGTGACAAGGCTTCGATGCCTGATTTTTAATGCAAAATATAACTTCTTGATGTTAAGGATTCCCCGCTCCCCCAAGAACTAATCTTGCTCTTTTTGTTGTCTTATTAGAAGACAACATTAAAGTCAAGTTTTTTCATAATGCGTTACAAATTATCTTCTCACAATTTTATTCGCTAAAATATTAGGAGTTTTGAAATGCTGAAATCTTGAAAGCGGAAGGCAGCAATGACAGCTGCTGTTAGGCTGAAGAGAATTATGAGTGCAAAGCATTAAAGAGCATGTTTGCAAAAGACTTCCCAGATTTTATTAAATGGCTACTCTCGCTGTTCATTGTTCCTCAGCTGGAGGGCTTCTGCCCTTCCCCCAGTGAACAGTGGGAGGCTATGTCAGGGCAAGTGTGCTCCTCATGCATTTTAATGCAAATCTGAGCCTGTTTACCCCTTCACCATACAAGCTAAGCTCTGGTCTGAAGTGTTTTAAGAGGGCTTAGATAACTCTTTGCAGCCTCTCAGCTCTGGAGATGTGGTAAACTTCTGCTGAGAAGCTAAAACAAGCTATAGGGATAGCATTCTGTTAACTGCTGCTATTTTTCTCCACAGCGATCATGTGATTATATATATATATATATATATATATATACATGTAAGTATTCAAATTTAGCATCCTTCTGTTTCAAAGAGCTGATTCTGTGTAACAACAATTTTTTTTTTAGATGACTTCTACAGATTTGCTGAATTGCACCCACACTTTGCAGAAGACTATCTCTATGCTGATCAGATGGGAGCCCAGAGTGGCTTGGAGACTTCATCTGTTTCTGCTCCTAATGGTATCTGTACTGACTTCAGCCCTGAAAACACTGAAGATAAAAACAAGCCTCTGCAGAAGAAACGGAATTAACACTACAACTGTTACCTTCCTCTCCTGGTGAGAGGATTGTCTTTTCTTGGGATTTTCATAAGTCACTCCAATTATAAAGCAAATACCAGTTTTGTGTGTGGAAGTTCTTCTACCTTAATACCATTCTTTGAATCATATGTGCTATATTTAACAACATGTTCCAGGTTACTTTGGGGAAGATGTTTTAGTTTTGTTTTGGGTTTTTTTTCAAAAAGGTCTTTGAAAGGCAAAAATGTGAATGTGCTTCATTATAATGTTCATATTTAAAAGGAAGCGGCACACTTATTTATATTCCATTGGCTAGTTTCATGTACAAAGTGTCGCACAAACTGTGCATGTATAAAGAAACTGTAGCTACTATGGTGTTAAGTGCACTTTGGTGATTAGTGTTTTCCCTAGTTACGGGGATGTTTATTTGGGGCCAAACTTTGCTGTCCATATTTGCATAGTCAGTCTTGTTGATTTCAGTGGGATTATTCTCTTGAGCAAGGCAAGCGCATTTTGGCCCTTTGTTTTGGTTTCAGTGAACAGTTTGGAAACAATAATGCAAAAACTTGCTAAGGTTTACTTTTTATTTTTATTGTTGAATGACAAAATTGTTTCTCTTTCAGTCTATTCCATGGTAGAATGAAAAGGAAAGGCTCCTTATCCCTCAGCCCAACACTTTCCTACTGTAATCTTCCGGATGCAATTAAACATGAATTTTTTTCCAAACTGGCATGCCACATACTGTTTGCAAATACGTGGCAAAACTGTTTGTGCTTTCCTCTTACAATCAAGTCAATCACGTCCACCCGGTATTTCAATGGGAGATGTTTACACAATTGTATTTAATCTAAATTTATCAGGAATCACAGGTTTCTTCTGTGGCAAGCCTGTATATGCAGGTAACTTAGCATGCAACACACTATGAAAACTTTGTTGTATCAGCACAAGTTTGAAAAGGTTGCAGTTGCTTCAGAGGCCAAGACAGCAACAAGTTACAGAACATGCTGAAGAAATGCTCGTTAAATCTCTATAGCAACATTACGTATACTGCATATAATGTATATGAAGCTTAAAATAGTTTAGAACTGTTTAAAAAGAAAAAAAAGAGCAACCTAAAATGCTTGTAACATTTCTTATCTTTCCTTTTGTAAAGCTAGATGCCTTAATTACCAATGGAGGTCTCAGAAAAAATTATTTTTATTACTATATAACCACAGAGCTTCACTGATTAGGAAATGTGACAAAAGCCTCAAGGAGTAGGAAGGAGGGCTCTCTCACAAAATAACTCTGATGGCAACTCTACTTCCAAACAAACAAAAAAAAACCCCTTTCAAATAATTTCTGTGACTAATTTTGTAGGGCTGCGCTAAAATACGATGGGTTTGTGATTGTAAAAACTGCTTTTGAGATTTGAATCTTCCACATAGAGTAATTTAAAACTAGATTTGAAAGGTAGGAATTTTAGCAGAAGGAAACCTGTTTTACCAAATGCTTTTATTATTATTTTTTAAATTTCAGGAGGTGTTCTAAAGCTCACTAGGGTATTCGAATGTGTCTTTAGAAATCCCAAACTGAGGTGGCAAGTCTCCAAACTGAAACTGGCTTTAATAGGGAAGGTATGGGGGGAAAAAAATGTAAGAAATTATGCTTTCTGTCAGGTATGTGGAGGTAGGTCCTTATTTGGAAGTAACAAATTTTTGATTTATCTAGGTAACGTATGCCAAGCTGACAGAGCTGCAGCAGACTAGCAGACAAGTTTTAATTTAAAACTAATCATGAAAAATAGGAGAAATGGTTCGGAAAAATAAGGCCTGTGAGGAACTACACTTAGGTAGGAATAGTCAGCGGGAGTGGGCCTTACTGCATAAAACATCTTGGGGCAGGGGTGGTATCGAGCACGACAGACCGAGCACTGTTAACTCACTGCTGCAGAAAAGATACTCCTCGTAGTGGGATGCATCAACAGTGTAGCCTGTGAGAAATGTGGTGGTATTTCTGTGTCATCAAGGTGTGGTAAGGCCTTACCTGAAGTACCTGTCCATGTGGGGGTACCTGAGAAAGATGGGGAGTAGCTAGATAGAGTCTGGAGGGCAGAAAGTACTCAAAAAAGAGATCAGAAGTATTCTGTAATCCAAAGAGGAGGAGACTGAAGGAAAATGTGGTGAAAACAGTCTTCAAATATGGAAAAAGTTGCTATAGAGAGGATGGGGAATGGTCTTTTCTCCACATTGATGGTACGTACAGGCTATTCATTTAAAAGGCAAGTTAAGCATTAGGAAAATTTTCTTGCAATACACCTAGTTAGCTAAGGAGAATGGGTTATTCCAGGTGAGGTGGGGAACCTTCTTTCACTGGAGGTTTTGGAAACAGAACAGACGAGACAACTAAGGCAGAGGCACTTGATTTTTCGTAGGGATATGTCCTGAGGTCTACGTTCTGTGATTATACAGTTAGGTATTTCAGGCGGTGTGTAAGGGAAGTGAACTGTAGTCTGGGCATACTGCGTCTCCTCTACAAGACTTTTTATGGCATGTGGCTCAAGCTGCCTGTCTAAGATCTTTTGTTTCGTATGTGAGCTTGGGAATTTGAGATTTCAGAGTGCAGGGGATGAGATAGAGTTCCCTGAGACTCGTCTGAAAAGAAGAAAAAGGTAAGCTTAGTATCCCATGGACAACTTTGGGGTGAGAGACGCTCCAGAGGAGGAGATACTCTGTACACGTCTGTGAAAGAACGAAGAAAGCTGATGGAAGTTGGCTAAATGTGAGCGTGCCTAATTTGCACGTACTGTGTGTGTAACTTGGGGAGCTGCCTTCTGAAAACTGAAGGGTTTGTTTGGTTTCATATCCGTTACGGTGAGGGAGATGTTTTCTAACTGTGGTGAGTGTAATATCTGCACTTGTGTGCAGCTGAGCTGTGCAGAGTGTTTGGGCCGAAGGGTGCTGCAGCCTACAGTAGACGGGCCCTGAAACGAACGCCGCACTGCGTGGTGAAGAGGCACTGAACGTCCTGTGCGCCAGTGAGTTCGGTCCAGAGCTGCTGCTGAAGAAGGCCAGTGACCCAGCGCATTGTTTGCTTGGTGAGCAGGT